CTATTTAAGCTATATTTTATTTAAAAAAAACAATAATTACTATATAACACTTTTCTGCTAAATATATATAATATAGTTTATGAATATTTTATTTTAATTTTGTTATATCTACAATTTACAAATTAGAAAAATAAAAACCTATAATATATTGAAAAATTAATAAAGTAAAAGGTAAAAAATTTTATTTGAGATTCTCTGAATATATATATATATAATAAATAAATGGAGATCTATCTGATAGAATTTAAATGGTGCTAATTACAGAGAGACCTCTCTAAATGCACCCTCTATAAGTGCACACTCTCTTTATATGCACCTTCTAGCATGGTCACAAGCTTGGGACTTAGACTCTAAATGCACCCTCTATATTCTGCACATGCAGACATATTTTTATTCTTTATATATATAAGATTATCTCTCTAAATGCTCTTCACGTGATTTATAGTATAGGCAACAAAATTGTTACAGTAGATCCTCGATTTTGATTGGCTAACAGCTGAGGATCTTCAAATTTTGGCTCGCATTACATAATTGTTTACTAATTTCCAGCCGGAATTAACTTTTTGACCTTTTAAGACCATATTATGGTAAAATTGGCCCAGGAACAATTTTCACTTAATATACGGCTATGATTTCATTAGTAAAATTATGAGCAATTCCAACCTAATTTTTTGATCATTGCTCTTAGCCAATTAAAATCGAAAATCTGCCATACTATTTTGTTGTGGCAGCTAGGGCTAATGCAATATTTATTATTATTTTTTTTGTAAAGCAAAACGTAAGTTGGGAACCATGATCAAAAGCCCATGATTCTACAAAAAAGATCAGTAAGTGTGCCCACATTTGATCGATGCATGTAATTATATTCAAATTAAGATTGTATAAACATTGAGGTTTCTAATATATAAAGTATTGTAATAAAAACTAGTAGTGCAGATTTATGTATAGATCAGCAAAATCATTAAATTTACTAGCTAATACTAAGAATAGTGTTAAAAATCTATTCATCTCACATACCAACTGTTTTTTCTAGCAATTTATCTAGGAAAATGAATTTGATTGAAATAAAAATTTTGATCTGTAACTTTGTTTAATTATGTTAAACTAATTGTTTGATATACAAATTGCTAAAGAACAGTTGGTATGTGAGATGAATCGATCTTTTGAATGCTAGTCTTCACTAGTAAATTTAATGATTTTGCCGATCTATGCATAAATCTGTGTTATTAGTTTTTTATTACAATACCTTAGATAGATTTGATTAATTAGTATATTGAAAGCCCCAATAAAACATGCATAATCACCCCAACAAACAAACAATCAAGTGATAAGTTCATATAACCAAAATGAGAATAGTGTACAAATGCAAGCCAAGGTTTTAAAATGGCAAAATTGAGGGATTATATTTGGTGAAGGTGCAGGAAAATAAGTGATTATAAGGCGGAAAAATCTAAAATAGAATAAATTAAAGTAAAACACAACTATTAGAATCTAAGAATGTTTAATGTAAGGAAATTGGTAGAAAAATTTAGATAAAAGTTCAAAAATAGAATAATTATACAGACACTATAAATTGTATAAAAGTAACAGCTAAATTATTAATAAAAGACTTATTTTTTATGTATAAAATAATATCTTTTACTCACCCAAATTATCTCCACACCTCTTCGATAATGTTGCAGAGTGGTAGTGTGGGTAAGGATGAAGTTGTTAACCCACAATATAGTATAAAAAAAAATAAAAATAAAGAATAAATACTCTTATCCTTTACAAAGAATATTTCTGTTTCAGCTGAATTATGCCATTATAACTATACTATAGATTTTCAAGATAAATTATAGTCTGAATTAAGTTTAATTACTCGAAGTAACATCCATATCCGAATTATAGTAATAAGGCAATTTGATAGAGCATGCATACTTTAAAAAAAATATATTACTGAGGCACTATCAGGAATAAAAGTTTCATATAATAACAAAAACTGAATCCACTTTTGTTATAAGAAACAGATCCACTTAAATTCGATCAAACTCAAATATGTCAGTTTAAAATGCCAATGTATATTATTTTGAAACCATGTTATTATTTTCAAGGAGTTCAACTTTTAAAATAACTTATCTAATTTTTTTAATAAATAGACCTTAAAGGATTATATTTTTAAAAAAAATTCTTAAATTCAATCATCAAAATAAATTATATAACTATCGCATATCTGAAAATAAAGTTTGATAACCATTAACCACTAATTAACCTATAGTATTATGTCTTCTAAACAAAAGAATACTCTTAGTGATGCCCAAAAGTATGAGCTTTGTCTTTATGCTCACGATAATAAATTAACTCATGCAAAATATATCGATTGGATTGAAAAAAAGTGGGGTATTAGAGTGTATGAATCTACTATTACCTGAATTTTACAAACTAAAGATAAACGGCTTACCACTGAAATTGTTAACCCAGAGAAAAGAAAAAATAAAGCTGTTACAGTTCCAGCCTTTGAGCTTGCTCTTAAGGAATTTGTATTAACCTACCAGCATAAAACGATTTTAAGTAATGCAATGTTAATTAAAAAAGCAAGATTACTTGCTAATGGGTTGGGAGTTCCTGAAGGTACTTTGAATTTTTTCTCTGGCTAGCTTCATAAATTTAAAGAACATAATGGAATTCACAAAGAAAAGCTTTATGGAGAAGCAGCATCTGCTGACATTATAGCTATTACCTAGTCTCTTCCTTTATTGCGAGACAAATCTGCTAATTACTCTCCTGACCGAATATATAATATGGACGAAACTGCTTTATTTTATTGGTTAGAACCAGATCACTCACTAGTCACACAGCATCTTTTTGGACATAAAAAAAATAAAGAACGCATTACTGTTGCTTTGTGTGTGAATTCTGATGGCTCACACAAGCTAAAGCCTCTAGTTATAGAAAAGTGTGCATGGCCATGATGCTTCAAGAATATTAGAATTTCCAATATGTGAATAACCTACTAGAGTAATACTAAGGCCTAGATGCTAACAAGTCTTTTTCAAGAATGGCTTCGAGACTTTGATCAAGAAATTTTAAAACAGCACAAAGGCAGATCAGTTTTATTATTTCTTGATAATTGCTCAAGTCACAAAACTGATGGTTTATTTCTTCAAAATGTAGAAATATGTTTCTTGCCTAAAAATACAACTTCAAAAATTTAGCCAATAGACGCAGGAATTATCATGTTCTTCAAGAGAAATTATCGTCATCATCATATTCGATGGATGCTTGATGAAATTGAAAGTAGCAAAAATATACAAGATTTAAAGATAGACATTTTACAAGGTATTAAATATATTATTCAAGGCTGGAATAAAGTTACAGAAAACACAATTAAAAACTGCTGGCGTCATACTAAACTTATTTCTTTTTGGGATAATCATGCAGATATAGATGAGAATGAAGAAGAATCGCTTGAAGAGCCATTGCTTGAAGAACTTTTTAAAAATATTGAAGATCTCAATTTTTCTGATTCAATGCAAGTAGAAGAGTATCTAAATATTCCTGATGAAAATATCATTTACGAAGTTTCTAATAATAATCAAATTATTTCAGATCTTATAGAAACATTTAGAGAGAGATCTGATAAAATAGAATATGAAGATCCAGAAAAGGCAGATGATAGTGTTGAAAGAGAAATTGTAAAACCAAGTGAAGCCTTTAAAAGTCTAGATAATATACACACCTTTTTACTTCAGCAAAAAGGTGTGAATGAATGTATAAAGCTAGTTAGTATAATTGAAAAATTTATCACTACTAGAAAAAATGATTTGATGACACAATCTAAAATAGACAAATATTTTAATATTAATGTTGATAGAATGGAAGAGTTACAATCGCTGGATGATCTGGATGATTTGATGTTTTAGTTATATATTACAAGTATATATAATGTACACATGTACATTGTACATACTAATATTCTGTTATACATTTATATTGATATGTATTGGTATTGTTTTTGATACATATAAACTTGAATAAATAAAATATTGTTTTAATCATATAGCAGCATTATATTAATTTACACTTTTGCTAAAATGCACTTATAATATTTTACTACATATCTATATTGCATTATCTTAAAAACTAACTAATTAATTAATATGCAAATGTTCTAATAAAAAGGCTCTACGTCCCCAAAAACCCTTTCTAAATCCTAACTTTACCGCCAAGTATGAACCCCAACATGAAAAATTTATACTAAAAATTTGTATACTGTACAAAACTTATAAAAACCTAGAAAAGTATACGATATATAATAGGTATATATGGGTGCCTAAATTGCCTATCTTAATAAAAAAGTAATTACAACATTTAGGCAGCCGAAATTAGTTTTATATAGTACTGAAATTATTGTGAAATTTTTTGAACTCTTTTGATCAAAATATATCATATAATATAGTTATTTCAAAGGGTTTATATAAAAAATTTAACAATGCCGAAATGTTTGCCGAAAGTGTGATTTTTCAAAAATAATTTAGGCACCTATGTATAATAATAGGTACAAAATGACCATAAATGCATTTTATAAATATGTTAATCTATATTGATATCATTTTTTATAAAAACTTATATAAATTAGTACAATTCTTTAAATGCACATTTGAGCCTGGTTTTAAGAAAAGTGTATTTAGAGAAATCTCTATATAATTCTACAAATACACACTCTCTGTAAATGCACTTCCAAACCCAGTCCCGAGGGGATGCATTTAGAGAGGTCTCTCTGTACTGTAGCTAATTACTCAATAATAACTAGTACACATTCAAGATGTGCTATAAAAAGAAAATATTATAAGGTTTAACTAATAAGACAACATGAACGATGAATATAAAGTTTACTATTTTTAGTATATAAGTTTAAAATAAAGTATATACTGATACATATATTGAATTATAGAATCAAAAAGTTAATTTAATTTTGAATCTTATAAATACAACCTGAATATGATAAAAAAGATTTCTCAAATTGATCAAATTAAGCAGTTTGATCAGAATGATCAGATAAAATTTTTATACAAAAATTCTTTCTGTTTTAGTCTAAAAGAAAATATAGTAGATTACGAGTAAAATTGTAAACCAATAAATAAGATACTTAATATATGACAACAAAGAAAAATTAGAAGAGAATTAATACTATAATATTAGCTTATTAGCTTGGCTCAAAAGCCATGGCTAAGCTAACTTACTACAAACCAATTCTATCCTTAGCCATATATATATACTATACGTACATACACACTACAGATTTATAATATTACTTAGTTATATTCTATATTAAAAACTAGTTTATAAAATAAGACCAGAATAGTGAGCTGAGTTACATGATATCAGCTTGAGCTAGCTTGTTGGCTCAGCTCAAAAGCCACAGCTAAGCTAGCTTGCTAAAAGCTAATCTCATTTCTAGTAAGTAAACTTATAAATAGATAGTAGAAGCCTCTAGTTTAAATAATCTACAATAATCTACTTGGGTTAACTCTTATCAAAAAAGTAAATAAGACTTCAAATCAAATAATTAGTTTGTATAAACTAAACCATAAGAGTATAATTTTGCCATCATTTAGTAGTTTTTTTTTTTACTGTTTTACTTTATTTTGTATTTGTTTTTAACAATATTACACTATAATACCAGAATATTTTAATTTTGCTTGTATTGATTAATCTGGTAAATATAAAGATCCTTATTAAGCAGATATAATAAATTAGCTACTCAAGTTTTCAGTTTTATTTAATTCTTGAATTTATTATAATTTATTATAGTATCTTATAGTTGGTTAATCTTATAGATTTATTTATTATAAGAACTATCTCTTTTTTAAAAAAATTATAAAATTACTATACTTAGGTTTTGTCATATTTAGATGTTATTATACTTACATATCATTCTTTTCAGCTTGTTTCTATGTTGTTTTATGGTAAACTAAATGCTTTATAAATAATATTTTATGTTGAGTTTTTTGAAAATTTACATAGTATGTCAGTAAAATATTTAGTATTAGATGTTGTTATTATAGCAGAATTGAAATTGAAAAGAATAAATATAAGGTATTCACATGATCAAAAATCTGCAAAGGTAAGATACTCTAAAGAAATATTTAATGTTTGATATTGTTATCATAGTGGGATCAATATTAAATAAAATTACTTTTTATCAAAATTTCAAAAGATAGAACACATTAGTAAAATATTTAATATTAAATATTGTTACCAAATAGGAATTGGAATAGAAAAGGATGAATATAAGGCATCTATTTGTTATCAAAATCTACAGAGATAGAGCATACTTGTGGTGTATTTAATGTTTGATATTGTTATCAAATAGAATTAAAATAAAAATGAATAAACATAAGGTATTCTCTTATTATCAAATTCACAAAAATGAGAGATGTTAATAGAAAGCTTGGATCTTCTTTAGAATAACTAGGCAATATAAAAATATTATAAGATTATAATATAAAAAAACACAAACCCTAACCC